TGGTGCGGCGGCTGCGCGACCTGGGCCAGGCCCTGCGCGAAGCCGAGGCCGACGGTGCGGCCTGGGCACTGCTGCACGCCCAGGCCGCGCCGCTGCGCGCCCAACTGGCCGAGCGACTACAGCTGCTGACCCAGGCAGCCTATGTGGGCGAGGCGCGGCGGAGGCTGGAGAGGGTCCGGCGCCGCCGGCTGCGGCTTCGCGAGAGGGCCCGGGAACGCGAGGCCGAGCGGGAGGCGGAGGCCGCGCGAGCAGCGGAGCGCGAGCAGGAGATTGACCGCTGGAGGGTGAAGTGCGTGCAGGAGGTGGAGGAGAAGAAGCGGGTAAGAGCAGCGGGTGCGCCTGGGGGTGGTGGTAGTGGCGTTGGAAAACGAAGGGGCGTGAGGCTTTGCGCTGCCATTTCCCAAGGCTAAGGCTCTTTTTCCTCATCCGTAAAATAAAAAGCTTGGTTTTCCGACCTCATGTCTTCATATCGATTGCATGTTTATGACGTATAGTACACAACACAAATGCTGTAGGTGCACTGCAAAGTCCTGCTAACACAAAGTATAGGATTGCACAGTATAGGAGATCCTGTCGCCTGCTCCAACGTTCTGTCCACTTACTAACATTCGAGACCAACAAGCATCTGGGTGTCTTATACTGCTCTAGGTGATCTTCAGAATACAAAATAGAGAGAACTTGAGGCCTTGCTTCAAGGAGCATATACCCTAATGGGTTGATGGGGCAATAGTGATTTCCCCAGGATTCCTTTGTTTACAAGTTTTAAACCACATAACCCCAGATAAAACAATGGTGGTTTTGAGCACTTATATACTAGGCACTATGCGAAGTACACCAGATCTTGAATCCTGATGACAACCTTGAGAGGTAGGCGGTATTATCGCAGTTTTACAGATTAGGAAATTGAGGCATAGAGAGGTTAACTTGCCCACAGTCACACAACCGCTTTGTGGCAGTTTCACTCCTGACTTCAGCCCAGGTTGTCTGATTCCAAAGCTGATCTCAAGCTCTTAAGTAGGGGCCGGGATGAAACTGGAAATTGGTCAAATGGTTGTTTGAGGCATTCTCATTACTTTTGAGTGTCTCTAGGCCTTTCCCCCTCCCTCCACCCTCCACAACTGACTAGTGTTTCCTGCCTTCTTGTGTCTGCTAGTACCTTAGAGTCTGATATAACTCCCCTCTGAAGTGTATTGATGGCAAGCTTTGTCTTCATGCCCCGAGGAATATCAGTGCTTTAAAGGAGAATACTTGGAGGCAATGCCTTGATCTAAGGGAGTTTGAGTCAGTTCAGCAGACATTTAATGAGGACCCATTGTGTGCCAGGCCCAGTGCTGGGTGCTGGAGATAGAGATGAATAGGACATAGTGCTTGTCCTTGAGGGGCTTAGAGCCCCACGGGGGATCCTGTGTGTACAGCATGGTGTGTGTTAGGATTTCAAGTGTAGGTGCTGTAGGAGCCCAGAGAAGGAGTATCTCATCCATTGGGGGAAGGTGTCAGGGAATGCTTTCCGCATGTTATAATGACATCTGCATTGAGTCTTGAAGGGAATGTCAAAGCCAAGTGAAAGCAACAAGTGCAGTTCCAGGCAGAGGGAGTAATGCAAGCGGAAGAGTGAAACAGCATGGCGTACCTGTCATGGTGGAAATACAGGCGCATATTTCACAGGTGGGAAAGAGAGCTTTAGGCAAAAGGATGCTCCCTAACACGGTGTCCCATGAGTAGTGGCTTAAGGAACCAGAGTTATTTAGTCTACATGTGAACCAACTTAACAAGAGTAGGATGGGGTCTTTAGGTGTTTGAAAGGCTATCATGTCAAAGAGATCCTTGGCCTTTAGAGCAGTGGAGCACAACTGCATAGGTTGTCACTGAGAGCATTTCCAGTCCTGTTCCTTATGTTCCCTGCTAGTCTGAATCTTTGGGTCCAGGAGTCTCCATTTTTAACAAGAGACCCCCAACTTAACAAGGCAAGTTGGATGTAGATGTTCCTTGGACCACACTTTGAGAAACTCTGAGGAAGAAACAAAGACCAGTGCCCATGTGGAAGCTGCAGAGAAGATAATCCCTTGGCTGGACCAATGTAGAGGCGAGTTGTGCACAGCCCAGGAAACTGGAATGTAGATCCAGTAGAGTCTATCTGAACCCTGGGACTGTCTGATCCTCTGAAACCTCACTGCTGGGCAGCTGTTCTCTGCTGTAAGGTTGTTCCTAAGATGTACTAGGTCTCATGGGCTCTCTTTCTCCTCCAGGAGCAGGAACTTAAAGCTGCTGCTGATGGTGTCTTATCTGAAGTGAGGAAAAAACAAGCAGACACCAAAAGAATGGTGGACATTCTTCGGGCTTTGGAGAAATTGAGGAAACTCAGGAAAGAGGCTGCAGCAAGGAAAGGTAACTGGCTTTGCATTTCTTCCTCTGTTCTCCTATTCCTTCCCTTTCTTTACCCTGCGCCCCCGCTCTCCCAAATTTTTGAGGGAAAAATGCTTGCTACTTCATTATTTTCACCCAATGGGGTAACTAAACTTGTCAGCAGTACCCCAGGCCTTTTGAAGCAGGAAGCCTCAGAAGGTGTTTAGCCTTGGTAGCCAAGGTTGAAAAGAGGCAAGTGTGGCAACCCACTGCACTGTCTTCCCCTTGACTCATCATTCCCACCCCGGGCATTCTTGGCCACGTTTTTCTGAGTGGGGTGGTGTGACTGGTCAACTTTGCCTGTGTGTCAGCGTGAAAGCTGTTCTTACATGGTGCTTGAGAAGGTGTTGAAAACTTGGCGTGCTCCTTCAGGAACATTTCAAACCTGAAACATTGATATCTGAAGAGGTATGAATGGTTGGACAGGGCAGGGAGTGCCCTGCAGACTGCATGGATGTCCCCAGCTTGCCTGCATGTCACTTTTGGGCTCAGAAAACCTCAGTAGTCTCCTCTTGCCTCTAGAGGGAGCACTGGTTTTCTAGAAGTTCCCCAGTTATGCTTTCCATTTGCTTGTCTGGATCTTTGCTCTTGCCAGTCTATTCATCCAGAGGGCCCTCAGTCCCATCTTTGCCATTTTAAGCTCCCACTATCCTTCAAAGCTAAATACAGATGCAGCATCCTCCTTCCTTCCCTGATCTGCGCTGAGGTGACCTCCTGCTCCTCTCTCTTGCCCCTGGTTTGGACCACATGTTGCCTTATTTAGTGGGCTCTAGGCCCTCAGCATTCATCAGGGATATTTGAGAGTACACAAATTAGCAAATACCAGGATAGCAAATGATTTCTCCTCTGTGGTTTAAAATATGAGTGAAACTGCAATTCAGACTCTTAATAAAGTTTTATCGGGATGTGACCATGTGCATTCAGCCACGCTCGTTCACTAGCTAAGTGATTAGCTTCTGCATCCAGCCTTCAGAGTGGCCAATTCAGATTCAGGCCTCAGGACAGATGACCCCATGGGCCGGCCCCACGGCTTAGTGGTTAACTGCGTGCGCTCTGCTGCTGGCGGCCCGGGCTCGGATCCCGGGCACGCACCGACGCACCGCTTCTCCGGCCATGCTGTGGCCACGTCCCACATACAGCAACTAGAAGGATGTGCAGCTATGACATACAACTATCTACTGGGGCTTTGGGGGAAAAATAAATAAAATTAAAAAAAAAAATCAGATGACCCCATAGGGCATTCATGAGCCGGAAGGGAGTTTGCATTTGCTGTGTCTACCATATTTCTTCCTTACAAGAATGCAAAACCTGAGGGCTACTGTTTAATATTCTACTCTATGTCCTCCATGAGGTGAGTGGTCAGTAAACTTTTGCCAAATGAATTTACCAGCATGATTTCTCACTATTAGTCTTGAGGAACTAACTTTAGTCCAAAAGAAAGAGGAAATTTTAGGAAGAATTATAATCTATAAAAATAAACAGCCTCTGTGGAGTTAATTCACTTGAATGTAAAATGATTTGGTAGCTAGCAACTAGTTGCGTTTTGTACTTAAAAAGAAAATGAGCAGCTTTCTAACTGGTCTGTTCAAGACGTGTGCACCTCCAAGTAAGCGCTGAGAGAGTGAGGCTGGGTGTGTAAGCAGGGCCGCGTCGCAAAGTGCCTTATGGGCCAGGCTAGACTTCTCACCTACGCTTAAAGCCGAGGGGAACCACTGAAAGATTTTAAGCAGAGAGTGAAATGATGAGAAAGATCAGCGCTGGCGGAGCAGAGAAAGGTTTGGAGCATCTAGGAGGGAGGGAGAAAGGGAGAGAGACTGATAAGACTGTTGTAGTCTGGGCAGGGATAGTATGGCGGTGTGAACTAAGGGTCAGATGGTGAGTTGGAGAAAAGTGAATGGATTTAAGAGATATGAATAAAGTAGAGAGAGAGTGTATATGTGTGTATACATATACATAAATAACTTGGGGAACTCAGCATGTGGGAGCTGAAGGGAAAAAATGACTTACAGGTTCTAGCTTGATCTATACTGAATGAATGATGATACCATTCTTTTTTTTTTTTTTAAAGATTTTATTTATTTTTTCCTCCCAAAGCCCCAGTAGATAGTTGTATGTCATAGCTGCACATCCTTCTAGTTGCTGTATGTGGGACATGGCCTCAGCGTGGCCAGACAAGCGGTGCCTCAGTGCGTGCCCGGGATCCGAACCCGGGTTGCCAGCAGTGGAGCGCCAGCACTGAACCGCTAGGCCACGGGGCCGGCCCTGATGATACCATTCTAATTGACCAGGAAAACAGGAGGAGGAACGGGCATGGGGTTGACGAGTTCAGTTTGGGACCTGTTGAGTTTGAGGTGCCTGTGGTACATCCTGGATAAGAGTTCGTCAACATGTACTGATAAGTAGGAATGATGTTAAGGAGATTGTGTACCATGAGATGAGGGCCAAAAAGACAAAATCCTAGGGAATGTCAAAATCAAGATGGATAAAGAGGAAGCCACAAAAGAAATCAAGAGAGGTCAGAGAGATTAAAAAAACATAGACCTCCTACCTCCTTCTGGAAAGTGGCAAATGCTCGGAGAGATTGTGTAATCTCAGGCAGGTTACTTAAGCTTCTGTGTGCCTTGGTTTCCTCATCTGTAAGAAGGGAATAATGATAGTACCTACCCATGAGGTATTGTGATGATTAAATGAGTAAACATGCATAAAGTACTTAAAACAGTCCTGACACATAGTAAATGCTATATAAGTGTTTCATATTATTATTATTTTATCAAGTAATATAAAGATTGAGAAACATCCATGGGAATTAGTACCTGATAGATCATTAGTGACCTATGCTAGGGGCATTTTGGTGGAGGGGTAGAGGTAGAAGCTGGACTAGACTAGATTGAAGAGTGAAGAGGAGATAAGAAAAGAAACAGTGAGTTTAACTTATTAAAAGTTTGCCTGTGAAGAAAAGGAGAGAGCAGGATCAATATCTGGCTGTGTGTGTGTGTGTGTGTGTGTGTGTGTGTGTGTGTGGCAGTGGGGGGGTAGGTAGGGGGGTATCTTAGGGTCACGGGAAAAGTGAGCATGTTTAAATGCTGAGCAAAGGAGTGAGAAGGGTCAAAGAGAAGCAGGAGGGATAGTTGATGGCTTAAGGTCTTGCAGGAGGTAGGGAGATTCAGATCCCAGGTAGAAGGATTGACCGAAGTGGCGAAGGACCCGTCTTCCACTGGAATGAAAATGAAGGAGACAAGGATGGGTAGTAATGCAGATGAGTGAAATCAGGGGCAGAAAGTGAAAGGATTTCTTGCCTGATGGCTGGAAAATAGGTTAGATGGTTTGCTGAGAGTCAGTAGAGAAGAAAGGCTTTAGGAGAGCAGTGAAATAACTGCTGTGAGGAAGGAGTGAGAGCCACCCAGAGACCCGTTGGAGTATAGTTGCAGGGAGGTGCTACAGGCCCAGCTGGTGTAACTCTATAGTGGCACCAGGTCACTTAATCAAATGGCTTCTTCCAGGAGGGCTCTGCAGCTGGCAGGTGAGCACAGAGCATAGGGCTATTGGGGTTTTGCTTTATGGGTGACCACAAGTTTTGGTGAGAACGAGTGGAAGAAGGGTAGAGTCCGATACGTTAGATTGGAGGTGTTAGCGAAGCTGACAGTCTCGGGGGAGAAGGAGGTAAGAGTACTGGAAGGTAGAAAGTTGTAGTTAGAGAAGAGAATAATCGATTTTAAGACTTCAGAGGTGCAGTTTTTTCTGATCATGCCAAGGTCCAAAGACTGGATGAGGCACCAGGGTCCGAAGACTGGATGAAGCGCCAAGGTTTGGGTGGCTGAAGGGGAATAAAGGCGATTGGTATCTAGGAGCTGCAGGAACTAGAGGAGTAAATGGTAGAGGTGGAGGGAGCCTAGACCGTGTCAGTACATGGGGTCAAGAGGAAGATTGGGTAAGGAGTGCTATTCCTGAGGGAATGTGTTAAGGTGACGAGGAGTGATCGATGAAAGGTTGAGGGAGATTTGGGTGGGTGGTGCAGGCCCAGCAGCCCAATATGGGAGCAGGCCACAGCTCCTCATGGAGTCTGGAGGCACTTATGGGCTGATGGAGTGTCTATATATTTTTATAATATTGGCAGATTTTAATAGTTGCAGCAGAGACTGTGTGGCCCACAAGGCTAAAATATTTACTATCTGGCCCTTTACAGAAAAAGTTTGCCAATCCCTGGTCTAGGTAAAGAAATTAAACAAAACCATGAAATTATTACAAAGCAACATAGTGACAGCTTAAATTTCTCAGTGCATAAGAATTTTGTGTGTATTCGAAAAATATTAGCCCGGCTATTTAGTAGAAGATGGATTTGAGTTGTAGGGTTTCCATATTTGGGAATGAATGAATGGAAACCTGTTAAAGCAAAGCAGTTATGAGATCTGGAGAAATGTTAGCCTTGGAGGTGAAGATAGGAGAGTGAATTCCACAGCCACTTAGCTGCAGTGGTTGAGGAGAAGGGAATCAGACCTCCAGATTAAACAATTTTACAAGAGACAGAACTACTAAATTTTATGCCAAAATTGAAAATTTAGTGCTTAAAGCTGGCAATATTGCAAAAATTCTCAAAACCGTGTTAAAAATCATTCATTTATTGAAGAAATAAATATTTATTAATAACTTCCTCTGTGTCAGGTTTAGGTGCTGAGTAATGTATAGCTCTTTTAGGAAAAAGTTTAGTACCACATTTAGGTGGTCTTGAAAGTATCCATATCCATAAACATTTCCACTCTTGAGAATTACTTCTTATAGAAGTAATCCATACAAAGGAAAAAGGTAACATGCCCGAAAGTATTTATTGTAGCATTATCTGAAAATAGGACATTTGGAACAGCTTAAGTGTCCCGGAGTAGGGAGCTTGTTAAGTAAATTATGGTACATTGCTTTGATGAAATAGGATAGAGCCATTAAATAATTATAAAGACTGGAAAAGAATGTAGAGAATAGACACGGAGATGCAGAAATTACACATATTATGTTGAACTATGTGAAGTTCCTAATATATGGACAAAAATGACTGGAGGATCAACATGGGGAAATAAAAATGATTGATTATGTTAGTAGGATTAGGGTTTTTTTCTTCCTCATATCTGGTATTGTTAAAATGCTTCTGTAATAAATACATTTTCCTTTAAAATCTTTGAGGACTAGCAGGATGGACTGCAACCACATCACTCTAGAATGAATAACCTGGCGGCTTCAGTAGCTTTTATGTTGCAGGGCCGTTATGGTAATGCGTGCACAGCTGCAATCCACTCAAGTATTCATTAAATCTCAAAATTTTTTCCTTATGAAATTTTACGAAAAATTTCACACATGCACAAAAATAGAACTCCTAAATAAAATACCCATCATCAACTATGGTGCCATTATCACACCTAAGAAAATTAGTAATAATTCTTTCATATCACCTAATAACTAGTCTGTAATCAAATTTTCCCACCTGTGGCCCTAGCTATGTTGGCTATAGTATTAGCTGACCTCACAATTAAATCAGGGTGACCAACCATCCCGGGTTTCCCAGGACACTGGGCTTTCAGTGCTAACACCAGGCAAACTGAGGCAGTTGGTCACCCTACTCTCAGCAGCAGACTGTGAGGTCAGTGTGGTTGGTTAAGTGTATTTCTTCCTCACTATCCGAGTGTGCTGTCCCAGAACTTCAGACTCTGTCAGGAGGAGAATTGTTTATTAGTGGGTTCTGGGAGTCTGTGCTGTGGGAATTTCACAATGAAGAAGTATAAGAGAATTCCTCCCTTTAGTGAGCTCACTCTCCAACTGGAAGATCTAAACCATTAGAAATAAAACAAAATCAAAGGTTAAGTGGTATGCTCCAGAGAGAGGAGTTAGAGAAAGTCAGGGTAGGGTCAGACTAATTGAAGACTAAAGAAGATCAAATTGAGCCTGGAAGATTGGTTAGAATTTATAAATTCTAAGCAGATTCATACAGGAAGTAGGACTTTTGAGTCTGCTCATTAGAACATGGTTTTTGGGATAAGAAAAGTTGTATCTAAAATGCCACTTGGATGTCTTTGCCCAGGGGTCTGTCCTCCAGCCTCAGCGGATGAGACTTTTGAGCATCATCTTCAGCGACTGAGAAAACTCATTAAAAAACGCTCTGAACTATATGAAGCTGAAGAGAGAGCCCTCAGAGTTATGTTGGAAGGAGAACAAGAGGAAGAGAGGAAAAGAGAATTAGAAAAGAAACAGAGGAAAGAAAAAGAGAAAATTTTACTTCAGAAGCGTGAAATTGAGTCCAAGTTATTTGGGGATCCAGGTAAGTTCCTCTGTAATTAGTGGCGAAAAGGAAAATCCTAGATTGACAGCTGTTTTCCTCATGGATGATCTCAACTTAAGCTAAGAGGTGGTAGGCAACAAACGACACCTTCAGGATCTGAAATTCTAAACTTATATCCTGGAAATCATGGGTAAAGATGAAACACATATGATCGTACTATCATAATCATAGGCTTGGTCACCTCGCCTTGAGAAATACACTCTAGGTATCAAGCATGATGACGTGGTATCGTGCCTTTTCTTTTTCAGATGAGTTCCCACTTGTGCATCTCTTGCAGCCTTTCCGACAGTATTACCTCCAGGCTGAGCACTCCTTGCCCGCGCTCATCCAGATCAGGTCAGAGGGGCACTCTCCATGTCGTCTTCCCTTAGGTAGCAAGAAGCAGTTGACAAAGTGCTTATGTTGTTGAGGTCTATTGCTATATCTTTCTTTTTAGGTTCCTTATGGGTTTATATCAAGTTTCCAAGTTTCAAGGATACTGCATGGGTCTTGTTTACTCCTCATTAATCCTTGAGAGTTAGAGGCCCCTATTTTAACAGGTGAAGAAACTGAAGCTCAGGTTGTGACTTGCCCTTTTGTATTATTTCTTGCCATAGCTGTTATGTTGACTTAAAGCATTGGCGTCCTTTTCCTAATTCTCTTCTGCTGCTAACGAGACAAGGGAAAAAAAGCCCTCCCTGTATACTTGCCTGTGGAGAGTGTTTAAGACCCATGCTGACTTGTGAGTTCCTACAGGTCAGAGCCAAGAGAGCTGGGAACAAGGAGACTCATCTTAATCCACAGTTACTGATGAGCTCGGTAAAGTTTTCAGCTCTGAGGGTCTCACTTTCCTCACCTATAAAGTGAAAATGGTGGACTAGAATGTGACGTTCAAACTTTAACAATAATATTCTTCCCAAGTGCAGTCTTTTGAGAAATCAGTTTGTAAAACAGTTAGAATGAATGAATGGGATTCACAGGCAGTTTAAATCTGTTATTGACTGGAAGTACTTCGTTGTTTCTGGATGTCCCAAACAAAGCATCTACTTGGGGCTTAGGGGTCTTTAAAGCCTGGTTTGAAAATCACTGAACTAAGTGATCTCTGAAGTTCCCTCCAGAGCTCCAACAATGCTCTTTAGCATACCAAGTTTATGTTCAGGGAAAACTGTATTTCTGGCTAATATACAAGTTTTAGTGTTTAAACATAAGTACGGTCGATTCTCATTATTCACAGTAGCTGTGTTCTGTGAGCTGCAAACACTGAGTTAGAGAATACTGAGCTGCTGCTCCTAAGGAAAGTACAGGGTTAGGTTCCTATGAGCCTCTGGTCTCAACATTTTCACCAGCCAATCAATACATAACATTGTTTTATGTGTATTTCTTTTTAAAGACACCTTATTTAATATATATCGTTGATTCATTGACATTGAACTCATGGCTGACAGCACTATAACTCATACCTGCACGTAGCTTATCTAACGTGCATATCACAGCCTTCCCACGCTAGCCAGCACTTCAGCGCTGTACTTGGGGGCCAATTTAAACAGCAAAATCACCAACAAAAATGTGAAAAATGTGGTAGTAAATAGACTGCAAAAAGGACCCTTGTTCACAGTATGAGAGCTGAAAACAAGAAGGTAGAGTGTCACCGTGTTTGGCCTTAGTTGGGAACATGCCTGTTGTGACTCAGATTTTTCCCTGCTCTGTGCATGTCTGCAAGTGACCTCAAAAGCACCACAGGTAATGATTTTGGGGTTACAAATATATTTTAGTGAATAGGCAAATTTGCAAATATGGAATCTGCAAATAATGAGGATCGACTGTATATTCATTATTTCCTGATCCATAAGATTATAAGTTCTTCTGATTTTTTTTCCCCTTTGTATGTACAATTAAGACATATAGTCTTTTGCATAATTCCTAGAAATCAGGTTCTTTAGTTGACTAGTACATCAGTCATTTGAAAGCTAAGTCCTGAAATAGAATATTTGGTTGCTGAACATCTTGCTTGGAATAAAACAGAAATAAACAGTTGTTCTACAATGTTCTTATTAAGGCATGATTGGGATCAGTACCTGGTGCCATCTGATCATCCCAAAGGCAACTCCGTTCCCCAAGGATGGGTCCTTCCCCCGCTCCCCAGCAACGACATCTGGGCAACCGCCATTAAGCTGCATTAGTAAAGAGGCTCCAGGAGTGTGGTCCAGCCAAGGCTCTTTCCAGCTCTAAATGTTAGTGATGCTGCCATCTTCTTGTGCTGTAGACTAATCCACAATCTCTTAACTCTGTGTGGCATTGCCCTACCCAGAAGTTATGTTTTCCTTCCGTGCTCTGTCCTGGCCAGAGGTGCCTCTTGAATCAGGAAATTAATACGGTTCTTCAGGAAAGGACCTAGGTGAACTGGGGTGGCCTTGGTTCACTGAATTTGCCTCTGTTTTGAGGGGCTTGGTCCAGAGTGACTTGTAAATTTACTCTCACCTTCCTTGTGTGCTGATGGGTAAGTACGCTCCATACCCTCATTCACTAAACACGGGTGTGCGCTGGGTAGTTTAGCAGGCCTTGCCCCGGTACTGAGTGTGAAGGCAAGCTTGATGGAAAACCTCTTGATCCTTCCTACCCGAGGAGCCCTCTAACTTCCAGGAAGAAAAGTCAAAAGTGCTTTAGCTTCGGTTTTGTGAATCCCGCTTCTGGTGCAGCTTGAGAGGTTGCAGGCTGGGCTGCCGGAGAAGCTGGTGGTTTAGTCTGGTGGCCATGTGGAGAACGTGGAAAACCTAAAGAGTACCTGTCCTCAAATTGGACTGTGTTTAAAGGATGGTGGCTGCATTTTCCCCATGTTAGAAGGATCCTAATGAAAGCACCTCTTTTTTAAGTTCCTAGAGGTCTAGTTGTTCAGAATCCCGAAGGATAGAAATTTACTTCCCTATGGGAGTGGGACCTTAACCTCACTCAGTCATTGTAGGGGCCGGCATAGCTATGGGATTTTCTTAGGAACTCAAGCTTCCAAAAACGTCCATCCAAGCTGGGGGAAAAGCAGATAAAAATAATAAAATTTATTTTTTTATATTCATTAATAAATGCTGTTGTGCCTGGAGATGATCAATCACATCACGTTATCTGTCTTTTTGTTTTCTTTTGCTTTTTGTCATTTATTGTTATTTATATTTCCAAAAAGCTAAATAAATATGATTTTTATTTTTTAGTTTGAGCCTTTGCCCCCAGTTTGTTGTCTCCCAATTCACTACACACACTTTCACATTGATGAAACACATTTTCACTCCAAAATTCAAATTTATTAAATAGGCATTTGCTACAGAAAGGTGAATCTCAAACACTAAACTTTGCGGAATCTCACTCTGGATAACCAGGAAAGAACTCCATCACCTTTGGAAATGATTCAGGTAGTTGGAACCTCTTGGCTGCAAGATGCTAACACCTTTGTCCCTTTTCTGTTGTTTAATTTGCACTGTTCAATTTAAATTCCCCCCCCCCCCAAAAGCCCCAGCAGATAGCTGTATGCCATAGTTGCACAGCCTTCCAGCCGCTGCATGTGGGACGCGGCCCCAGCATGGCCAGAGAAGCGGTGCGTCGGGGCGCACCCGGGATCCGAACCCGGGCCGCCAGCAGCGGAGCGCACGCACCCAACCGCCAAGCCACGGGGCCGGCCCTGCACTGTTCAATTTATATATTATGCATTACAGAACTAACAGCGTATGAGGGCCAGTACTCCTTCAAAGTATGTGTCTAAGCTCATAAACTTTAAAATCTGATGTGATTAGCCTCACATAATCCCATGGGCCCGTGTCCCCTTTTGTTATAAATCTCCACCATTTGCTCTCAGGTGAAATGCAGAAAGAGTAGAAATAGAAGATGAATTGTACAATGTACATTTGGTGTCTAGACAGCCTTGCCACTAAGACGTCTGCATTGATGGGGACCGGGAGTGTGGAGCCAGGGACTCAGGAAAAATGAGGCAGCAGAACCCAAGAAGAAGAAAGCATTTAACATTTAACCTCTGGTGGAAAAGTGTTCCCTCTTTCCTCTCATTCAGCTTCTGCAAAGTTTTAATAAAGTGATCATTATTTTTGTTTGGGTTTTGTTTTGTAAGTTTTTCCTGGTTTATTGCCTTGTGTAGGGGTGGTGGCAGCAGCCACTGGCACTTCATGGGTTTAGAATGGACTTACAGTAGTGTCTGTAATGAATTGTACTTCTAAGTATATGGACAGTGTTAGTGTAATCTTATCTCACACTCTTTTTTTATTTAATGTGGAAAATTTCAAACATATTCAAAAGTTAAGAGAATAGTGTAATGATTTTTTCCATAGACTCGTCATCCAGCTTCAAATAATTATCAACTCAGGGCCAATCTTCTTTCATCTGTACCCCCATCACTCACTGGATTATTTTGAAGCAAATCCCAGACATCATATTACTTCATCCATAAATATTTCAGTATGTAGGTCTAAAAGATATTTTAAAAATTTAACCAAAAATTTAACCATTATACACCTAAAGAAATGAATAACTCTGTAATATCATCATATAGCCAGTCAGTGTTCAAATATCCTTATCTCATAAATGTGTGTTTTACACTTTGTTCAAATCAAGGTCTAGGTGCAATCTACGCATTGTTGTTGGTTGATGTGTCTCTTAAGTTTCTGACAATTGATAGATCTCTCTCTCGTGCTTCCTCCTCTGCACTCTTGTACTCTTCTCTTTCTCTCTCTTGCAATTTATTACTTGATTAATCATGTCCTTTTTTCCTGAAGAGTCCCCAGTCTGGATTTTGCTAATTGCATCCTTATGATAACATGTTCCTCTGTTCCCGTATTTCCTATAATTTAGTGGTTAGAGCTGTACTGTCCAATATGGTAGCCACGTATGGCTCCTGGGCACTTGAAATTGAGAGTCTGAATTGAAATTGAGTTTGAATTGAGATGTACAGTTACATATGTGGCTCACATATTTCCATCGGACAGCACTCATCTAGAGGCTTGATCACATTTAGATTAGAATTTTCTGGCAAGAATATTTCATAGACCTGGTGTGTAGTCCATTCAGGACTAATGTCTGATTGTCTCTTTTTATGATCTTAGCAGCCATTGATAATCAAGATCTAGATTCATTCATTTGGGGTTGCCAAATAGTGATAGTTTAATTCTACCATTCTTTCTTTAATTATTAGCTGGAATTCTTCTAAAAAGAGAAACATCCTCCCATCAACTATTTGGTTACCCTGGGGTACAATTTGTTTAGGAAAGGCAAAAGAAATGTGTAATTTCCTTTGTTTACTAGTTTTCAAAATGAGTTGGTTACCTAGCATCCTCCAAAGATGACCAGTGAATTTTGTTTTTAAGTATCATTATGAGCTTAGATCTAAACATATTTGTCTTTCAACCCACTGGTGCTGTTTTCTTTATCGATTGCCTCGCCTTTGGCCAATGGGAGCCTCTTTAACTCAGCTCCTGAGTTCCCACTCAATCCCAGTATTCTGTTCCAAGTTTATCTTGCACATTTCCTATCCCAGACCTGGAAGCAGTCATTTATGCATGACCCCTGGTTCCTTTTCAGAGGAAAAGGTATTTTTAGGCCACAATCTGCACGATAGGCGTGCTTATTGTTATTGCTGGTCTTTGTTAGTTGTTTCTTATTCCTTTCAGTCAGAACTAGAAACTACAGTTCTGTTGAGCCTTCAGGCCTTTTCTAAATCATGTCTTTTTTACACCTATACCTAAATTCTCTATATATGGAACATAAAGTAATGAAAATAGGGAAATAAACTCATTCAAAGGCTAACTAGAAATGTGTTGATTCATCATGTCCTGTATGCAAGAATATTGTTTATCTTACTTCCCAATAGAGGAGACCATGGGCTTGTGAGAAACTCTTAACAAAAACATTTATTTTTAAGAAATTAGGTAAACACAGGGAAGATTCAAAAGTGAAATAAAGTGATTGGTTATATGTTCAGTACTAAGTGTGTTCAGCCCAAGTGGCTGAGTTTATGACGTCAAAGAATTTGCTACAAACCAACCAACTTAATCACTCTAAAACCATTCATGTTGCTGTGTCCACGTGACTTTTGTGCAAGGATTTATCAAGAAGCTTAGCTGGGATTATACCATCTGTTGTAGCAATTCACTTCTACATATTTTGTCCACAGGGAAGCTATTCTGGAAATTACAAGGTAAGTACAAAGTATGTCTTGTTCCATTCAAATAAGAATAATATATAGAAGGAATGTGAATGCTATGAAGTATTAGCAGTGATATATTTTAGGGACTAGTGATTACATGAGGCATTTCCAACTAAATTTTTTTTTAATGCTTGTAACCAATAAGCTATTCTTGTATAATCAACTGTTTACTTTTGGGTGCACCCACACAGTAGTTTCTGACTTGCCACATCTGGCTGTCCATTAAGAATGTGTTTCCAATGCAGGTTCCATTTGCCTTTTGGAATAAACTGGGTTTCTCATAGTCTCTGAAGCAAAGGTTGAAGTCTGAGGCAATTGGTGCTAGAGTATATAACTAGGCAGAGCAGTAAACACTTCTCAACCTTATTAACTCATGGTTGCCGGAATCTGGATCCCAGGATTTGAACTGTGTTCTTGGGAAATGGTTTTTATTTACCATTTTCCAGGTACAATGTTAAGTGCTGGAGATATAAAAAGGAGCAAACAGACAGAATTCCTGCCCTCCTGGAATTAGAGTCTAGAGTAGAGAAGCTTAATGATTATACAGATAATTAGAGTCAGTTATAATTGTGATAAGTGCTACAAAGAAAAAGTGCTTAGTCAAAAATTTATATTTTTCATTGTTCAAATGTTAAGTGCTTTTTGGGGCTCAGAAAATTTGGTAAGTACAAGGGCTATAATGGTGAGCAAACATTCCCTAATACAGGTTTTGAGGAGATAGATATTAATCCAACAATCAAAAAATGTGCTGAGTGCTTTGAAGGAAAGGTATGGTTTTGTAAGATTAATTACACCTTTTTTTTTTCAAACTGAGTGTTCTGTAATGCATTTAGATGAAATGGTAAAAAATATCATATAGTAAGGGTAAGAATTATTATTTATTGTACATATGTATATGCTAGGTCACAAAGTCAAATGTATTTCATACTATGGGTCACAATAAGAAAAAATCTTGAAAGCCACTGTACTAGATAGACCTTTCCAAGTTTGGGATCAGGAAAAGCTTTTTTGAGGAAATAATATTTCAGCTGAACTCTGAAGAATGAATAGCTATTAACTAATGGGGAAGAGACAAGAAAGAAGAACATAGCAAATATCTGGAATGGCATATGCAAAGGCCCTGTGCTGGCCAAGAGACCAAGGCAATTGAAGGCAGCATGGCTAGAGTAAGAAGGAAGGTGAGGGACTGGGGGCCAGACACTGCAAGGCTTTGGAAGCCCTTGTCAGGGGTTTGATTTTTATTCTGAGAGCAGCTGGGAACCATTGCAGGCTTTTAAGCAGGGGAATGGCTTAGTTTGCTGTTTTGAAATGATCACTTTTGTCCCAGTGTGTGGAACAGAATTACAATAATAGGGCATAAGAGAATCCATGGACACCAGTTACCCAAGTGAGAGCTAATGGGAACTTGGATTCCCATGATAGCCGTAGAGGTAGCATGACATGGCTGGATTCCAGAGATTTAAGAGAGAAAAACTTGGTAGGGATTTGAGATGGGTGGTGGTGAAGGAGAGGAAAGGGTGGGGGATGAGTCCCAGGCTTGTGCACCATGGACATTCCTTGAGACAATGAATCCTCGGGGAGGAGGATCAGTTTGGGGGAGGGGACTTCACTTTGGATATGTTGAGTTTGAGGCACCCTTGAGACATCTTGGAGGAGATGCCTTATAGACAGATGTGTTTATGAGTTTGACCTCAGAAAAGAACTGGGGAATTTAATGTGTGAATCATTGACACATAGATTATTGAAGCTATGGGCAAGGATGAAGTCATTTAGAGACCTTTAAAAAATAATATTAATGTCATTGCCTGGGCTCCACGTAGACCAATTACTACAACCCTCACCTACCCTACCCGTCACCACCAGGCTCAGATGCAGCCAAATGGGCACAGACCCATGGACTGATATTGGAGAGGTCCTAGATTATGCAGTGTGCTGAAGTGCACAGGCTGGCTTTCCTAATATCCTCGCTCCCCCTCCCTCACTCCACCCCCTCAGACCCCTTCAGGGCTTTCTCACTGCCTACTGAATGAAGTCAGCACTCAGCCCAGCACTCGGCACTTGGCCCCTTCAGGGCCCTCCCCAGCTCTGCCCCAGTCTACCCCTTCAATCTTATTGCAGACTCTTTCCCAACACAAGCTATCTACTTGAGTCAGGCAGCTTGTCTCCCCCTCACTCTGCCCTGCATCTGTTCCCTGGCTCAAGCTGTTCCCTCCCTGGAGTTATGCTCTCCACTCCACCTTTTCCCTGCTCACAGGCTGTTCCCCCACCCTCCAGGGTCCGGGTCAAGTCCCATCTTTCCAGAAGCTTCCCCAACGCCCATAAGGACTAGAAACCTCCGCTTCCTCTGAAGAATATCATCGCCTAATGATCTGTACGTCTCATTTTATATTTAATAGAGCTGACTGTCACTTTAGAATATGTTCTAACTAGATCATGTCTTACACTGTAGCCCTTGCTATTCTTGAGAGATGTGTTTCCAGAATCCTCAAACTCTTAAATTACTCCAGAAGCAAGTGTAGAGCTGAGCAGAGAATATCTATTAGGATGCAGATGCTGGCTCAGAGGTAGGGAGGAGGAGGGCAGCCCTGTACCTGTTCAGTGGATGGGCAGTTCACACTTGGGTCTCAACAAAACTGTGGTCCTTCCCCATAGCCCAAAATGCTAATGAGAACTGAAAATGTGAATGATAAATCTGAGAATGCCAAAACTTGCTAACTTTCCTGTGTCCCCTACAACTCCCTATACCTCAAAGATCCCCCGTAAGAACAGGCTGATGGGGCAGGTAACTTACTGATCACACTGGGACCTGTCTGATCCTATAACAGAACTAGATGCTCCCAATGTGCTAGGAGACCAACTCTGGGCATGGGGTGGAGAAGCCTCTTGAGTCTTACATACAGTAAGACACTGACAAGAGTGGGCAGACAGCAGAGATGAGGGAATTAAGGGATTTACCCATCTGGCCTCATTTGACCTCTCTGTACTCAGATTACCTACTCCTTCACATGTTGTTCTCACGTGGGTGTGGGGATGACCCCAGTGACCCCTAGCAGCAGGACTTTGCACCATCCTGGTAGGGATGACACTGTGTTAAGCCAGAAGTATTCCCTGGTGCAGGCTCCCTGGTAAGCCCTGATTGTTTGCAAAATGCCAGACTTCAGTCAGGAGTCCAGATTTAAGTCTATATTGTAGGCAGTCATGAGCTTGAATTCTGTGTAAATGAGTTTTGTTTTGTTTTTTAAGGCAACAGAATCTTTATTTAATGTAGTTTAAAATACATTAAAAAACAAGTCCCTGGCTATTGCACATATTATTAAACTAACAGATACTACACTTGATCTTAGTCAAAAGGTCCAGAAGCTATGTGTGAATGAGTTTTTAATTCTTAGGTTTCAGCTTTAGTAGATACTGTTGACTAATGCTTATTGACTTTCTCACCAACGGTGCATGAGAGTTCCAGATGTTCCACATCCTTATCAACACTCGATGTTGTCAGGCTTTTTAATTTTAACCATTCCTCTGTGTGTGTGTGTGTTTTTGTGTGTGTGTGAAGTGATATCTTGTTGTTTTATTTTGCATTTCCCTGATGGCTAATGAGGTTAAACAACTTATATGTCTATTGGCTATTTGGATATCCTCTTTTGTGAAGCACCTGTTAAAATCTCTTGCCTGTTTTTGTATTGGGTCTTTTTCTTATTGTTTTGTAGAAGTTCTTTGTATATATTAAATATGAGTCCTTTGTCAGATACATGTGCTGCAGATATCTTCTCCGACCCTGTGATTTGTTTTTTTACTCTCTTCATGGTATCTTCTGATGAATGGAAGTGCTTAACTTTAATGTAACCCAATTTATGAGTATTTTGCTTTACAGTTAGTCTTTTTTGTAACCTGTTGAGGAAATGTTTGCCTATTCTAAGACCATGAATATATCCTCCTATTTTATCTTCAAGCTTTATTTTACCTTTCACATTTAAATCTACAGTCTACCTGGAGTTGATTTTTGTGTATAATGTGAGGTAAAAGTCAAGATTTTTTTTTTCTAGGTAGATATCCAATTGATCCAGAATGATTTATTGAAAAAACTTTATTTTCATACTGCTCTGCAGGGCTAATTTTGTCATAAATTGAGGATCCATATGTGTGTGGATCTGTTTGTGGACTTTCTTTTCTGTTCTATTGGTCTCTTTGTAAGTCCTCGTGTCAGTACCACACTGTCTTATTTCCTGTAACTTTAAAATAAGTCTTGATATCTGATAGTATAAATCTTCCAACTGTATTGCTTCTTCCTCAAGATTGTCATGGCTTTTCTTGGCCCTTTGCATTTCATTTAAATTTTAGAATTAGTTTGCCAATTTACACTAAAAAATGTGATGGAATTTTGATACGTGGGATCTATAAATCAATTCAGGGAGAATTGATATCTTTACAATATTGAGTCTTACAATCCATGAACATGGTATGTTCCTTCATTTAATCTAATATTTTTAGTTTTCTGTGTAGAGGTCTTATACATCTTATGTTAGATTGAGTCCTAGGTAGTTGATGCTAATATAAATGGTATCTTTTTAAAATTTCAATCTCTAATAAAATTTTTAAAAGATAACATTTACATGGTTTGTTGTTTGTATGTAGAGATATAATTGATTTTTGTATATTAACCTTGTATCCAATGACCCTGCTAAATTAACTAATTCTAAGAGTTTTATTCATAGATTCTTTTGGATTTTCTACATATAACTATGTCATCTACAAATAATGGTAGTTTTATTTCTTTCTTTCCAATCCTTGTACTTTATTTTTTCCCCTCTCTTTTTGCACAGACTAGTACCTCCAATGCAATGTTGAACAGAAGAGATGATGGGGACATCCTTGTCTCATTTCCAATCTCGGGGATATCTTTCTGTATTTCACCATTAAGTGGGATGTTTGCTTTAGAGGTTTCAGAGAGGTTCTTTATTAGGTTAACAAAATTCCCTTCTATTCCTAAGTTGCTAAACAGGTTTGTTTGTTGTTTCTTAAAATCACGAATGGCTATTGATTTTATCAAGTGCTTTTTCTGCATCTATGGAGATAGATAATTATATAATTTTTAATTTTTATTCTATTGAAATTTATTTTAATTCCCATTGATTGATTTTGGAATGTTAACCCAATCTCTCGTTCCTGAAATACATTTAACCTGGCAGTGTTGTATTTTTCTGTCCATAATTATTTGTGTTAAGATTTTTGCATTTATCTTCATGGGACATTGGTCTCTAATTTTCTTATCAGGTTTGGCATCAAGGTGATGCTGAAACCAAAACAAGTTAGGAATATTCCTTCTTTCCTTCTTTTCTGGAAGAGTTTGTGTAATTTGATATTTCTTCATTAAACATTTGGGTGAAAACTCTTTTGATGAAATGCTTTAGAACTAGTGTTGTAGACCATGTTTTGGGACTTAAACATGAAATAATCAATTCCTGTCGGTTTGAATGCTCTTGTTTTTATTCATTTCCTCCCTTATGCAGCACTGGCTACTTCACCTTTTCCTTCCTGGTTGTGTGGGGCTCGGCTAAGTCACCACACAGGAGAGCGCTGAGGCCATTTGAGGCCTGAGCCTGGTCCTTAGGACTACGCTCTCTCCCTGCCACCAGGCGGCCTGCCCCAGCCCTTCTCAGCCATCTCCACACTCCTCTGACAGAATGAATGCCCTCGATGGTGTCCCCTTCAAGGTGCCCAAGGGCTTTGTGATAGGCAAAGAGCCCCTCCCTGGGCCAGAGCTCAGTGTCCCAGCCTGCAGGGAGCTTCTGCTGGGTTCTATGGTAAGTGTATCTCTCTGTCTATCTATCTCCTTGTCCCTGGGTCTGAGGGTCTGAGGCTGAACCTCCTGGGGTCTTGTTCCTTGATTTTAAAGGGCAGCCAGGCCTGCTCTGGTATATTCTTGGGAGTTTGGAAATAATCCAAGAGGAAAAGGTGTTTCATGGAGAAGGCTGGTAGCCTGGTGATGGGCATTATTTAGTGGGTCTTATTTTAAGCTTAGGATAACTGGGAGGCTGCCTATATGGAATGACTGAGAGTCATTGCAAGGATGCTCCCATTCCTCTCTTCCCTATCAGCCTGCTGCCAGGTCTAAAATTCCACCATTAGAATCACTCCTTTGGGCTAAGACACTGTCTCCAGAATCCTCTGTTAAAATGCAGACGGTTACATGGGAGGAAGGGATTGCTATTCCACAGACCCAAAGCACATCTGCCCTGGAGCCACCCTTGAAGCACCCCATGCCCTATGGCTCACACACTGGGATATGCACCCAGTGTATGTGGTGGAATCACATATGGCCTCAGGATAAATGTGATTATTTAACTTCCTGGAGATTCAAGTTTACTTGAAGATTTAGGGGGAAACCTATTGCATTTATATTATAACACAGATGTATCATGAGGTAGAATGCAAAACTCACATGAATTTTTAAAAAATGAAAGAACTAGATTGCAAACAACTGTGGAGCTGGCATTGGGCCTCTTGGGACTGAGTCCTCAGACTCATGTGTGCTCATTCTCGACTGTCTGTGGGGTACTTCGTAGAAAAGTGTTAGGATCTAGTTCAGCCCTCACTCATTTTGCATATGAGGAACCTGAGGCCCAGAAAAGGGAAATGATTTGTCCAAAGTTAGTGGCAGTGGCAAAACTAAAACACAGGTCCTGACTCCAGACCATTTCTCATTAGCTAAGAGCAGGATTAGAACATGAGAGACAGTGGACTAGGTAATGAACAAAGGCAGAAAAAGGGTCGCGGAAAGTTAGGAGCAGAGAGCACAGTCCAAGAAGGAGCGGCCTGGGGAGGGTCAGGTAGAGGGGCGTGAGTGGCCTGGGGCACAGGAGCAGGAGACTCCATGCAGTTTTGCTTCATCTGCAGACCCTGGAGTTGCACTGAGGCTCCTCAGGATCGAGGTTTCCAGAACTAAAATAAGCTTTGTAAAGCTCAGAGCACAATGTCCAGGGGCCCACGCTCTGTGGGGCGGGAGCTCTCGCTCTCCTCAGGCAGCATGTGCTGTGGGCTCTCACTCTGGCAGGAGGGCCTGTGTTCCTGGGAAGAGGAACTTGCTTTGCTAAGCTCCAATGGAGGAGAATTATCACAGCTCTTCCCTCTCTGCTGAGCTCAAGCTAAGCCGGGAAGAGGCTATTCTAAAGCTTACTTCTCCTAGAAGCAGAAATGGGCACCATTCTGCCAAGTCCATGTCTAGTGTCCTAGCCTAAGGACTGACCCTGGCTCTGCCTCCTACTCTCAGGGTGGGCATCTGTACTCCCTTGAGTCTGTTTCTCTTCCTGAGCCTCCATTTCTTTTTGTGCTGGGCCAAACTAACCAACAGAGAAGCATGAGACTCCAGTATGATTTACAGCCCCTCCTGGTCAGTCTTCTGAGTTCACTGGACTGTATTCCCAGCGTTTGGAACTCGAAGTACGTTTTCCCATAGCAATGATGTTATAGATGGTGGTTAGATTACCAGATAAACATATAGTGGCCTAAAGGGGAAAAAAAAAAATAACAGCTACAATTTATTGAGCACCTGCTGTGTACCAGGCCTGTGCTAGGTGTTCATAATACATTCACTCTTCTCTCTCATTTTTATGACCATTTTAGCAGGTGGATATTCCTACACTATGGCACAGGAAACCAAAGCTCCCATCCAAGTGATCCACAGGGTCACATGGCTTGTGAGTAACACAGCCACGATTCCAACATGAGTCTGTCAGACCCCAAAGCCCATGTTCACCCCTCCACCCTGCTGCCTTCTCGAGGAGCCCTTCCTTCCATATTTATATCCTTGGCAAGTCTGTGTTTTGTTGTTTCATAGTTTCCCTTGAATTAATTTCCTTTTTTCATTTAATTTTTTTAGAGAGAAAATACATTCACACAGTTTAAAAATGAAAAAATAAAATGATATAGAGCAGAGGTTGACAAACATTTTCTGTAAAGGGCCAGAGAGTTAAAACTCTGGCAATTACTCAACTCTGCTGTTGTAGGCAGAAAGAGCCATAGACATTACAGAAAGGAGTGGCTGGGTATGGCTGCATTCCAATAACACTTTACTTACAAAAACAAAGGGGGGTCAGTGTGGCCCCCAGGCAGTTTGCTACCCTGGTAGAATGAAAAGCCTCCCACTGACACCGTCCCATCTGCCCTGTTCCCCACCTCCACCCCCTCACCGGTGATGTCCGTGACTCATTTTTCATATAATCTTCCAGAGATTCTTATGTGCGCATTTATAAGCAAATACAGCTATTACCTCCTTTCTTACACCAAAGGTAGCCTTTTCTATACACTGTTCTTGATTTGTTCACTTCATATATTTTAAGATCTTTCCATATCAGTACATAGAAAGCTTCTTCAGTTTTGTTTTTCATTGTGTAGTATTGCATTATATGAATACATCATCCTTTATTGAACCAGTCCCCTCTTGATGGACACTTAGGTTCTTCCCAGTCTTTTGCCATTACAAACAATGCTGCAGGGAATGACTGTATGCTAATGTCCTTCTGAATTTGTTTAAGTGTGCTGCCAAATTGCGCTCCATAGGGGTTATACTGATTCACAGCCCAAGCAGCACCCTACAAGAGGCCTGTGCCTCCCACACTCCCCAACAGAGTTATCAGACTTCGGATCTTTGCCCAGGGATAGGCGCATGGTATCTCAGTGTAGTTTTAATTTGCCTTTCTCTTATCATGAGTGAGACTGAGCAATTTTTCATATGTTTGAGTCACCTGTATTTCCTTTTCTGTGGACTGTCCATATCTTTTGTCCATTTTCCTGTTGAGCTGTTGGTCTTTTTCTTATCTATTTCTAGCACTCTCTATATTAGTAAAGTTCTTATCTATTTCTAGCACTCTCTATATTAGTAAAGTTAGCCTTTTGTCTGTGATGTGAGGGCTATTTCCTCCCCAGTTTGTCATTTGTCTTTGACCTTGCGAATGGGATGTATTTGCTATGCAGATTTTGCATATGTGTGTGTGTGAGCATGTGTGTGCTTTTATGACCTCTGGATTGTGATTCAGAGTGAGAAAGATTTTCCCCACTTGAGGTTATAAAAGATTTCTCTCCTGTTTTCTCCTAGTACTTTTACGGTTTCATATCCAACATTTGAATTTTTGATCCTTTTGAAATTCATCCTTGTGTATAATGTGAGAATTGATTCAACTTTATTTCTTCCAGCTAGCTGATAGCATTTAATTGACTAGTCCCTCTTTTTCCCATTTCTTGAGATGCCACCTGTATTATTTAATACAACCCCACAGATATTAAGGTCTATTTCTGGACTTTCTATTCTGTACCTTTAATCTACCTGTGCCAGCACCATAGTTTTAATTATTGACATTTTATAACTTTTTTTTTTTTTTGCTTAGGAAGATTCACCCTGAGCTAACATCCACTGCCAATCTTCCTCTTTTTGTATGTGAGCCAGCACCACAGCATGGCCACTAAGAGACAACTGGTGTAGGTCCGCACCCAGGAACTAAACTCGGGCTGCCAAAGTGGAGCACACGGAATTTAACCACTAGGCCACCAGAGCTGGCCCTTTATAACATATTTTGACAGCTGGTAGGGCCAATCCCCCTTACTTACATTTTTAGTGCCCAGAGTTTTTCCAACTATTTTTATTTATTTTTCATATAAACTTTAGAATGGTCTTGCTTCGTTCCATAAATCACAAGTGTTGGTATTTTTATTGGGTCTTTTTATCCCTTAAGTCCCACTGACTGTCTCCTTATCTCTAACCTCTTTCTCTCCAAGTCGGCCTCGTCAGTTCTGTGGTTGTCTTTTTCCCTCCTCTGTCCTTCACAACCCGCCTATTTTACTCCAACCATTTATTTAACCATCTTTCTCTAACCATTTATTCTGCACACACTTACAAATGTCCACTCTGTGCCAGGCCTGCCCTGGGCCCTGAGGATAGAGCAAGTAGTAAGACAGAGTCCCCGACCTCTGTCAGGGAGCCACACTGGAAGAGCTGGTTATGCTCCTCCCCAACGTAGGGTCATGTCAGGGGTGGAGGGGACAGTGCCTGTGATCCAAGTGTCTGTGTCTGTCTTTCTACCTCCCTTTCCCTCACACACATTACTTCACCTAGCCTCTCTCTTCCTTAATTGGCCATCATAGAGCATTGAAATTGCCTTTTTAAAATTTTAATATTTTTAATGGAGTTTTATATTTCTAGTTCTTAATTTTAAAGGTAGGCAACAGGAATGTTTTATTTTTGCCTCAATTATAAACTCTCAAGTCAGATTATTTATGTGGGCTCCTGATTGCTTTTATAGGTGGCCCAATAGCAGTGGAGAAAGCACCACAGTCAGAATTCACAAAGGAATTCCAGCTGAGCCACTCACCACCAATCTGACCTTGAGCAAATTAAACTTTTCTGAGGCTCATTTTCATAATCTGTAAATAGGAATAACACTAGAACCTACTAAGAGTAGAATTCAACAAAGATTAGCGATTTTTACATTTCCTGGGCCCCAAAGTAACTGTGGATGGCAGCAAAGGGGCTGGGAGCTGAGGTATTGCTCCATAGAGAGGTTTGTGTGCCTGGGCAGGCCTCCAAGTCTGACTGCTCAGTAGCAAATGATGCTGAGCTCAAGTGAAAGCTTCTTTGCTAAGAACAAGTTTTATTGGAGAAATTTTTTAAGCCGCTGTTGTTCAATTACATACTGAATAGCAAAGGGACTTCGATACTGGATTTCACTACATTTCATTCTATTAACCTATTCCTCACTTTGTCCTTCATGCAGTTTGCCATTAAATTGTTATTGATATCCATCGACCCCAGTGCTAGCTAAATCTGAGGGTGAGGATGGGCTGTGATGGACACCTCGGGCTCAGAATCGGAAGCTGTTCAGGCCTAGAGAATCTGGCTGAACAGGGTCCCCGGAGGCGAGAGTAAGGGTGTGAGCCCCTGGGCTCTGGTTTGCCCGGCCTGGCCTCATGTCGCCTTCTCTCCGCAGCACGACTTCAGCCTGGAGCGGAGGACGCTCTTCTGGGTGGAAGCTGTCATCCAGGGACCCTGCCCGTTCCAGTGCGATGCCCCAGGGACAGCGTCAGCCCCTCCCGCCTGGCATTTGCTGGTTAGCCCCGAACACGAGCTGGTGCCCGGGTCTGCCGCAGCCAAAGGCCCTGAGGCCGGGCCCCAGGAGCCGCTCAAGGAGGAGGAGGAGGACCAGGACGAGGAAGAAGCCTCCTCTGCCAGCGAGGAAGAGCCGGCTCCCTGCAGCCCCCAGCCGGGCTCCCCGGCGAGCCCCAGCCCCGGCCATCGCGGGTGCTCCCTGGACGTGCTGAGCGGCGTGAGGTCGGAGCTGGCCGGGGCTCGGCGGCGGCTCTCCGAGGGCAGGCTGGCTGCCCGCCCCCGCGCCCTCCTGCACCGCATCCGCCACCGGGCGCTGAGCCTCTGCCCCAGCCCCGCGCCGCCCCCTAGCCCTGCACTCCCGCTCCCCGGCGCGCCCGCGCCGCCCCTGCGGCCCTCCACTGCCGGCGCCATGTCCCCGCTGCGGAGCCACAAGCCCACGGTCGCGGTAAGGAAACTGCCCCCTCGGCCAAGGCCGCAGCTCAGCAGCGAGGCCCCCATAGTCTGGGTGCCCCGCCCGATCAGCAGCCTCGGTCCTCTCCTCTCTGCGCTCCTCCTCCCTACCTTTACCTGCTCTCACCTGGCCCTGTACCATGCTGTCCTTCCTGTGGCCCTTTGCCTAGCATATTCCGTGTTCAGAAGCCCCCATTCCCTCTGTTTCCCACTGTGCCTGCTTTGCCTCTATTAGGGCACATGTCACAATAATTGTAATTATCCAGTACCTGTCTCTCTCTTCCGGTGGAATATGAATTCTTTTAGGGCAGGGATTGGATGTATTCATTTTCGTTTCCAGAGCACCCAGCAGCAGACTTGGCCCATAGGGGGTTCTCAATGAATATCTGTGGAATTAATGAATGTGACTCAGATCTAGGACTTCCCACCAGGCAAGGCTTGCTGAAGGATGAGTGAGCTGGAGGCTCAATCAAGAAATATTAGCTGTATGGTTACTTCCTGCCAGACACTGGGTTGGAAGAGACAAGATCAAAACCGCAGGACAAGGAGAGTTGGCTAAGGGGGTGTGGGACAAGGCAGCACTGTATAGCTGGACGGATCAGGTGCTGAGAGAGACGTGAGTGTTGCTGCAGGCTGGGAAGGCTTCAGGACCCAGGATGTGCACCCAGAAGGACCGGGAGCAGAAGTGAACTTAGGGTGAAACCAATGAAGCCTGAGCCTCAGGCCCCTCACTTTGCCCCTTCAAAGGCCTTATACCTAATTTTATATTCATAATTGTGTCTTTTCTCTTTAAGAGGTCCAAACTATGTAAGTATCAAACTCCACAAAATCTGGATCCAGAACAGACTGGGGGGAATCAGGATTGGTAGCAAGAGGTGGCAGTTGGGCACAGCTTTTTGTCCCCAGTGCCCCACAGTCAGGCCAGGAGATGCAACAGACTAAGGCCAAGGTGAAATTAAATCCAAAAGACAAACTCAAGGTCTGACTTTTCCCACTCACTGGTGTGTGACCTTAGGCAAGTCACTGAACTGCTCTGAGCCATCCCTTCCCTACCTGTGAGGTGGGCCAGCAACCCCTCACACAGTGTTCAGAGCAACACAGAGAAGAGGATCTGTAAACTGGGCAGGCCACGCCCACATCAAGGACCAGTTGTTAATGTCAGGATGGCTCTTCCCTGGTCCAGATTAAATTTAGCTCCAGCAACAACCCCGTGGGGCAGATGTTCTATAGAAGAGGAAACTGAGGCAGAGAGCACCTAAGAATCTTTTTCAAGGTCACAAGAGTAGACTCCGATCCTAAGATTTGGATGTTTTCCACTCTGGGGGTAAAGGGCAGACCCTAGGGTGAGGTCACAGCAGGGAAACCCCTGAGAAGATGGGCATGGATGGGGAATTCATATGTCACATACACACACTTTGCCCCAGGAGCCAGGGCAGCAGCTGGGCTTTCCTTGGGAGGAGGGGACAGGACAGTGTGTTCAGGGTTGGCAGGTGGGTGCTTCATGGCGGATGGGTTAGGAGTGATGCTGACCAAACCAACTGAAATGCCTTCAAGCCACTCGCCTTCATCCAGGGTCTGTATGGGTCTCCCCAGCACCACAGCTGTGCCCAGTCCCTACTCTGCTCCATGCCCTCCCAAGCTGCAGCCCAGCAGAACTCAAGAAGGAGGGTCTGGCTGGGAAGATCCACCCCTGGTCCCCTCTCACTAAGGTGTGGAGTAAAGAACCCTGGATTTGTGAGTAGGGTTCAGGTCCCAAATGTGTGTTGCTTATCAGGTCATTAACTTCTCTGAACCTTGATTTCAATATCTGTAAAATAGGATAATAGAATGGACCTATCATATTTCTCTTGCAGGGTTGTTCTAAGCAATACATGAAATATCATTTACTGGCAGTTTCTGTATGCCAGGCCCTTTGCTGATCACTTTTCTCGCATTGTCTTATTTAAGCCTCTCAACAACCCTGTGAGGTATCTAGTATGCTTGTATCTGTTTTACATATGAATAAACTTGAGTAAACAGTAGAGAGCTGGGATTTGAACCCAGTTCTGGAGGACTCAAAGCTCTCCACAGTATTAGCCCCTACACTCTATTTAGAAGGTGTATGCAAAGGCACCTTCAAAAATATCCTGCCCAGCCAGGTGTCACCTCCAGTGGTAACTGACACATCCAGCCTGTCTGTATTTCAGTCCCTCAGCCCGTACACCTGCCTGCCACCTCCTGGGGGGGCGCCCCAGCCTCTCAACGCCCACAGATTACACCCTGATTCTGCTGACCTGCTGTCTGCCCTGAGCCAGGAGGAGCAAGACCTCATCGGGCCAGTGGTCGCCCTGGGGTATCCCCTGCATAGGGCCATCGGGGCTCTGCAGAAGACAGGGCGGCAGAGCCTGAGCCAGGTGAGTGGGGGCCCCAGAGTTGGGGGGCTGTGGAGCTAGAGCCAGGTGAGTGGCCATGTGGTTTTTATCTTTAAATTGAAGAAGTTTTGTTTCCTTCTCTTTAGAGGCAGAACCTCAGCCTGGCACTAATTATTGAGGGTTGTGAGCAAGTTTCTAGACCCTAATGCTACCCTCTCTATAGAAGTTTATCAGGAATCCCATTCCCACTTGGAGAGTCTCGATATTCTACTCCTGTCACAGTCTCTGCCCCAAATACAGGGGGCTGGAGCTTTGGGAAGCCAAGAATCTCTCCAGAGCTGCCCAATAGAATTTTCTGCAACAATAGAGATGTTTTGTATCTATGTTGTCCAATACAGTAAGACACTAGACATATGTGGTTACTTGAAATTTGGTAAGTGTGACTGAGAAACTGAATTTTCAATTTTATTTAATTGTATTTAATTAAAATAGTCACCTGTGGCTACTGGCTACCATATTGGATGGCACAGCTCTAACCACTTCCCTCAATGAACAGTTTATCCAAACCCATATCCATCTCTTTCTCTTTCCATCTACCCATCCATCCATCTAGTCAACAGTATTTATTGGGCACTTCCTGGGTGTTTAGATGCAGCTAGGAGCTATCGGGGAAACCAAGGTACATAAAAACAAGTGTTGTAGATTGGGTTCCCCAGAAAGCAGACTCAGATGGAGTTTGGCATGCAGAGTGTTAATTAAGAAGGCCCTTGGGATCAACTCCTATGGGAGGGAGGGGACTGAGTTAGGCATGGTAGAGGTAGAAGTTGAGTTTTGTAGGCGCAACAACATCGTCAGCCAACCCCACAGCTCTGGAGCATATAAGGCCCTTTAGACTTGTCCTAAGTGGGGCTGAGATGGTCAGGCCTTTATACCCCTGCCTCAGTCAGTCATTGGATGTAGGAAGAGGGGTAAGGAGAGAAGTGGTTCTCTGCAGCTAAGGCAATCCCTGAAGGGGCAGACAGCTGAACAGTGTCTACCAGCTCTCCTAGCATCTGGAGCAACAAGACCTTCAATGAAGGGGGATCTGGAAGGTGCATCGCAGAGCGTACCACACCCAGGTTCTATTCTTAAAGACTTCCCTCTATTGAAAGAAGGGTGAACACACATGGTGATACTCAAAGGGTAGCACCCCAAGCTGCTCTAAGATTTGGGAGCAGGTCTTGACCTCGTATAAGCCAAGAATGTGAGAGCACCTGCAGGAAAGTGAGGGCCAAAAGAGAGGTGCTAGTGAGAAGATGCCTAGGAGCAGAAGGGATATGAGTGCTACAGGGCTGTTTCAGTTATCTATTGCTGGGTAGCAAACTGCTCCAAAACTTAGTGGCTTAATACAACAACCATTTATTTGCTCCTGATTTTCTGGGTTGGCAGTTTGGGGTGGGCTCAGTTGGGTGGTTCTTTTGCTGGTTTCACCTGGGGTCTCTCATGTGGCTATAGTTTGGAGACTCAATTGGGGCTGAATATTCTAAGATGGGCTTACTCACAGTCCAGTGGTTGGTGATACTTGTCAACTGGGCCACATATCTCCAGCATGCTAGCCCACTTGATTCCAAGAGTGAAAGCTGCAAGGTCTCTTGAGGCTGGGGCTGCAATTGTACATGGTCACTTCTGCCTCATTCTGTTGGCCAAAGCATGTCATAGACCCGCCCAGATTAAAAGTGGGGGGAAATAGGCTGCACCTCTTGACGGAAGGGGCTGCAAAGAATTTATGGCCATTCTTAATTTACCACAAGGAGGTTCCAGTGATCAAGAAAGCCTTCATGAGGTGCCAAGGCTTGAGCTGGATTTCAAGGATGGATAAGATCTGACTTTGAAGGGAGGAGAAGGGATGATATTTCAGGCAAGAGTAACAGTGTGAGCAAAGGAGTGGAGGCAGCAAGGAAGTGTTTGGGAGGCCTGGATCTGACCAGTCTTGCTGGAATAGAATGTGAATGATGCAGGCTGGTGAGAAGAAAGACAGGGAGGAGAATCGAGGTAGATTGAGGGTGCCGTGAAGGCTGGGCTGAGAATTTTATAAATGACCCAATAGCAAAAGGGTGGCATGGAAAGATTGTGACCAAGGGCAGGAGGTGACATTGAATGCCATTCTGTGAACCTCCCTTCCCCCACTGAATATAACATCTCCCTTTGCATTGTTTTCTCAATACTGGGCCTCTTTGTGGTTGGAAAGCTGGGCCGCAGGTATTGAAAGGTCCCAGGGTAGTTGGCACTTATCCTTTTCTCCTGTCTCTGCCCCACCACCATCAGTGGGCTTGGACACCCTCTCCATAATCACTGATGGCTGCCATATGTTGGGTCCCTGAGGTCTGGAGCTGCCTGCTCTTGGGCAAGGGAGTGACAGAAGGAGAGTGACTCTCAAACTGGAGCCAAAGCAGGATGTGCTTCTGCCAGATTAAGGAGGAGGAGGAGGAATGCACCTGGTCCCCTTTGCCACCAACTCCTGCTTCTGCTCTACTCTGGGCTCATCACTCCATGCCTTGTCCTGGAGGAAAACTTCCAACATGGTGACCCCCATGTGGCTAGCATGGCGGGAGCAGGGGGTGCTAACATTTATTGAACACCTTCTTTGTGTCAGGCCCTCAATCTGAGAGTATTCAATTAGGTCTTCTCAGTTCTGCAAGGTTGCTATTACTGTCCCCACTTTGCAGATGAGGAAACTGAGGCCAGGGAGGTTCATATAACTAGTCAATGGCAGAACCAGCATTGAGGCCGGGCTGGTTTGACTCTGAATCTTTATTGTACAGTGCTTTTCTCTCATTTTCTGTGTAAGAACCTTCCAGGGCAGCACCCCAGGCTGATCTGAGATTTAAGAGTAGATCTAAAGTTGCCCCCACCTTCAGCTGCTGCTAGAAGCCAGGACCTTGGCCAAGAAACTGGCCAGGAGGACAGTGAGGGGCCAGGCCCATGGTGGAGGCTCTGATATGCCCCCTAGTCCCTCTAGGTCCTCTGACAAGGCTGTGGTCTCAGGCCACCACTGTGGGGGTCTGAAGATTTGTTGGAGCCAGCACGGAGCACTGGCCTCCCTGTGAGTGGGCTGGAAGAATCCCACTGCATCAGGAATGCTGTGTTTCTAGACATAGGCTGACCACCTGCCTGGCCTGCCAGGTCTCGAGGTGACCTTCTCCCCTGGGGGGCAGTCAGGGGCCAGGCCCTGAGGGGTGGGCCTGAGGGGCCATTGGATGACTTCGTCTGTCTTCCCTACCAAGTTACTATTCCCCTCTATTCTGTGAAATTTCACCATTAACTGAGCTACTTCTTTGGGTTCAGATTCCTTTCTCCCCTTGAAAGATACACACTACAGTAAATCCTTGTTGGCCAGAGATAAACAACAGATGGTCCAGGAGGGAAGGCATCAGGTGATGGAGACAGGGCACTTAGAAGAGCCAGAGAGAAAGGAGGAGATACAAAAGATAAGCCTTGTCCATCACTCCTTCCTTCCTTCCACAAGGATTGATGTGCCCACTGACCACCTGCAGGACATGCATGGGTGGCATGTGGGAGGGTCCACAGGCCAGGTCCAGACTTGCGGTGGGACTCTAGGCACGTCAGGGCCCCTCTTTGAGCCTCACTTTCCTTATTCACAGGATCAAAGGGGAATATGTGTTTTCATCAGTGACTTCCAGGGCCCCACCCTGAGGTCTGAAGGTGACATCCTCACCTACCCTGGGGCCTGAGGCATGCCTGGTAGCTTCTACAGTCTCATAGGCCTAAAAGCTGACCAAGCAGCAGAATCTTTACAGATTCTGTAAATGCAGATTCCCAGGGCCTGCTCTGGAGGGTTCCAGTCAGTGGATCTGGTGTGCGCCCAAGGGCCTATTGTTTTAAAAGATCTGCAGATGGTTCTGATATGCAACCTGGTATGGGGCCTAGAGGTATGGACAGAGGTTGGCCATCCCTTGAGTCAGTGGTTCTCAACCTTGGCTGCACGTTAGAATCACCTGGAGAGCTATAAAAATCCCAGTTCCCAGGCTGCTCCCCAGACCACTTATAAATTAGAGCCTCTGGAGGCAGGCATCACTGGTTTATGGGTAGTCCTTTTAAGGCTCCCAGGTAGCTGCAGTCAGCACCAAGGCCAAGAACTTTTGCTGTGGATGAACCAAGAGGTGAAGGGAGCATCCCCTATCTGCCCTCGCCCCTGCTCCTGTTTTCACCTTTGGAAACTCTGTCTACTTTCAAGCCAGCTCAAAGCCCCTCCTCTAGCAGCTGGTCCTCTGAGGGACAAGACACTGGCTGAGAGATCAGGTGATCTAGGCCCTAGTCCTGGGACCCTGGGCAAGCCACCCACCCTTTCTGGACCTCAGTTTCCTCAACTGCACAAGGAGGGCTTAGCTGAGTGGTTTTCAGCAGCAAGGTCTAGGTGTCCTGGGGTGGGAGCGCTGGACTCCAGGATCCCCTGTCCCTGCCCCCAGTTCTCCCAGAGCAGCTCTGACCTTCCCGTTATTATTGAAGCCTCCTGGTGTTGGGACAGTTCAGAAGCTAAAACAGTTCGAAAACCATTAGTCCCTATGATCCATGCTTTCTGACCAGCTCTGAAGGTCTGCAGAAACCCAGCCTCTTTCTTCTCCACTTATACCCATAATGCTTATGGTCTGAGCCTTTATTTGGCACCAACTCCCTATAAATCCTGCTTTGATTTGCCTGGCACTCATGTTTTCCTGTATCTGGTTTATCTCCCCCACTGAGCAGTGAGCTCCTTGAGGGTAGTTCTTAATTCAGTTTGTAAACACAGCATACATTTATTGAGCTCCTTCCTGCCTGCCATGCTGGGTGCTGGGGACACAGCTGTGAACAAGACTGACACAACCCTTTGTTCATGGAGCAAAAAGTTAGTGGATGAGAAAGGTGAGAAAGAGCAGTTACAAAGTGGTATGTGCTGTGTTGGGGCAGCATGGGGTGCTATGGGAGCACGAGGCATGGCAGGTGCTCCCCCCCAGTGGAGACGGGGGGCTGGGAGGCTCCCCAGGAAGAGGAGTGAGGCTGGCCTTGGCTGAGGGAGCTGGATATACAGAGACCTGGGTGGGGCTGAAGGAGGAGCGGCCACTGACTGGCAGACGCAGGCCTTTGAGCCCTGGTGAGGAGGCAGCACTTTATCCTGAGAGCAAAAGCAGCCCCTGATGACTAAGCCGGGAGTGACTTAACAGGTTTTCAGCTCTGTGGGGTCCTCCTCTGTCCCCCACCCCTTTCCAGCACAGGTGCAGGACTGTGGCATAATAGGGGCTCATGAGTCCTGGATGGCAGAGATGTATGTGTCTGGCGGTGGGGTGGGGGTGCACAGGTGTGCATGGGTGAGGAGGCACCTTCACACAGGTGGGTGCTCACCGGGGAAGGTGAGCAGGCTGGGCTGGGTGGTGGATGAGACCCATGTGTTTCAGGCCTTTCCCACTCCCCACTTAGGTTCTGGGAAGACCTTAGCTCACCCTGACAGCCCTTTTCCTAATTCCAGCCCCCAGTTTGGGACAGTTGGTGAGATCTTGCTGTCTGCCTGTCCCCAGAAAAGGCCTCTGTCCCTTTTCTATTGGCTCACGGGGTCTCTGGGGCCATGTCGTGTGTGGTGGGTTGCCTAATCAGACTGGCCTGAACTCAGGCCGTAATGAGGCCTGTGGGGTGCCTCCTCCTCCCCGTCTGCTGCCCCTGCCACTCCTCTTACCGCTCCTCCCTCTCTGCCCCTTTCTGGCCCAGTTTCTAAGCTACCTTAGCGCCTGTGACCGGCTGCTGCAGCAGGGCTACAAGGAAGACTTGGTGGAGGAGGCCATGGAGATGTTCCAGTTCTCCGAGAGCCAGGTCAGCAGGGCAACCTCCCTGGGCCTCAGGGGAGGGGAGGGATGGGGTGTACACACAAGCCTGGTGTGCAGGGGTGCACCGGTGCCAGAGCCAGCCTGGGGGGCCATCAGGAGATAATCTGCTTGCTCAGCCCTGGGGAGGAGACAGCCTAGGGAAATGAAGCATGAGGAGGGCAAGGGGAAGAGGTGGGGAGGGAAACAGGAAGCAAGGCTTGTATGTTATTTGACTGAGTCAACGCCACAAATGTTATTGAATGCCCACTCTTTGTCAGACACCCAGATAGGAGCCATGGGCAGCAGAAAGATGCTTGAACTCTCTGCTCGGGCAGTTTGCTGCCTACCTGGAAAACCAGAATGCAGGCAGCTGTGGGCCCAGCAGTACATTCTAAGTGCCTGATGAATATGGCCAGTCAGCAGTTGGCCCAGGCTCAGCAGAGCAGCTCTTCACAGAGGCTGAGGGAGGGACTGAGGGTTGGGAGAGATGGTGAGTAGGAAGCAGGGAGGAGAAGCAGGGAAGTTTCAAGCACTGGGGCCAGAGGAGGAAGGAAGGGGGAGGCTGCACTGTGTGAAACTTGGGCAGGATTTGGGGCCTGGGCAGAGACCAGGGGCTCTGCATCCTCTGGGCACCAGTATGTAGCCTTCCTCTTCCTGCCCGAGTACCCAAGCACAGGAGGAAGTCAGGAGTGAGCTGGAGTGGGGGAGTAATGCTGGGATGGAGCCAGCGGCCAGGCCGGGGCCTCCTTCCTTAGCACAGGAAGGGAGGTCCAAGCCCATGTCACCCCAAAGGGACAGGAGAAACGCAGGTGCTGCCCAGGGTCAGGCTCACCTGGCCTGAGGGGAACCACAGCTTTCTGGGAGTAGATATAGTGGGCACAGGGAGGGGGCTGCCCAGGGCAAAGTTCCCAGCGCTGTCTCTGCCTCCTCTTCCTCAGGCAGGGGAGTTCCTGCGCCTCTGGGAACAGTTCAGCGACATGGGCTTCCAGCAGGACCGGATCAAGGAGGTGCTGCTGGTCCACAGCAACCACCGCGAGCAAGCCCTGGAGGAGCTGGTGGCCTGTGCCCAGTGACTGCTGGGGCCTTCTGCAATGCCCGTGCCTCCCAGTCCTGTGCCAGACCTGGCGATCCATTCAAACTGTATTAAGACCACATAAGAATAACAAAGTGATGCACGCTCATGGTAAAAATGCGAACAATGCCAAGGGTGGGAGTAAATACACAGGGGAGGCAAAACTTGACCCATCTTAGGTTTTCAGCTGGGGCTCTTTAACAAAAAGACAGATTAACAAGAGTTTATTAATGCATGCAACAGATTAACAAGAGTTTATTAATGCATGCAACAGATTAACAAGAGTTTATTAATGCATGCAACACATATTATGCGGGAGAAACCTCAATGAAAAATAACTCAAAGCAGCAGTTTAGAACTCTGGCTTATATAGCATCTTCAACAAAGAACAGTAAATTTGTAGAGAAATGATAGGACAAAAGAAAACAGTTTTAGGTTTCCAAGGATGGCAAACGGTGGGAAAGTAACTATACAGGAGGGAACTGATGGAGTAAGGTTTGTTTGCAGTTGCCTCTGTTGCCTCTTAGGGCTAATAAGAATGTCTCCAGAAAAGGAGAATTTTTTGTGTGTGTGTGAGGAAGATTGGCCCTGGGCTAACATCTGCCAATCCTCCTCTTTTTGTTGAGGAAGACTGGCTCTGGGCTAACATCCATGCCCATCTTCCTCTACTTTATATGGGATGCCGCCACAGCATGGCTTGACAAGCAGTGCGTCGGTGGGCGCCTGGGATCTGAACTGGCAAACTCCGGGCCGCCACAGCGGAGCGCGCGCACTTAACCGCTTGCACCACCGGGCCAGCCCCCAGAAAAGGAGAATTTATGTCCTGCTTTTAGGCAGAAGAGGGGAAGATAGAGAGAGATTTTCCTGCATTTGCTGCTTCCTCATTACCTTTGCTGGAAATAATTTTTATGTCAAAGAGGCATATTTCGGGGTGACATTCTGGTTTCTTTAAATACCAAAAGACTCAACTGAAAGAGTTGAAAGTGGTCACCTGTGGGGAGGGGCAGATGGGGGAGCATGGATGAGGAACTGTGTTTTTTCATACAAGCCTTGTAAAACTACCTGTATTCAACTCTAAACTGTGTGCTGTAGTAACTCTGATTTTAGGAAAATTAAAACAAATAAATCACGGGCGGTTCTTTTGGGTCCTGTAGGCCCCTGGTCTTGGTGTGGAAAGAACATCTATGCAGGTCAGAAGACCGAATTTCTGATTTTGGTTCTGCTGATGACTAGCTCAAGGCCTCTTTGGGCCTCAGTTTCCCCAGGAAAAGTGGAAAGATTGGACCTGGCTGCTATCCATAAGAATTCCCTGGGGAGTTTGTTAAAGGTTCCAGGCCCCACTCTTAGATAATCTGATTTAGAAAGACCAGCTTGGCAGCCCCTAAGAATCTGTTTTGGTTTTATAAGAAGCTCTCTGGGGATTCTTTTTTTTTATCGTTTTTTTTAATTGCTTTTTTGTTGACCTCTTTCACCCATTTCTCGCACCCCACAACCTCTGCCTCTGGCAAACACTAGTCTGTTCTCTGTATCTACGAGCTTGGTTTGTTTATGTTTTTGTTTTTTAGATTCCATATATAATATAAGAGAGATCATACAGTATTTGTCTTTCTCTGACTTATTTCACTTAGCATAATGCCGTCGAGGTCCATCTGTGTTGTTGCAAATGGCAAGATTTCATTTTCTCTTTTTTTTTTTTTTGGTGAGGAAGATTGGCCCTGAGCTAACATCTGTTGCCAATCTTACTCTTTTTGCTGAGGAAGATGGTCCCTGAGCTAACATCTGTGCCAATCTTCCTCTACTTTGTATATGGGAGGCCGCCACAGCATGGCTAGATGAGCGGTGTGTAGGTCCGTGCCCAGGATCCGAACCCGTGAACCCCAGGCCGCTGAAGCAGAGTGCGTGAACTTAACCACTACACCACTGGGCCAGCCCCAATTTTATTCTTTTTTTATGGCTGAATAATATTCCATTATATATATATACCACAATTTCTTTATTCATTCACCCATCCATGGACACTTAGATTGTTTTCATGTCTTGGCTATTGTAAATAATGCTGCAATGATAGGGGTGCATGTATCTTTTTGAGTTCGTGTTTTTATTTTCTTTGGATAAATACCCAGAAGTGGAATTGCTGGATCATATAGTAGTTCTATTTTTAATCTTTTGAAGATCCTCCATACTGTTTTCCATAGTGGCTGCACCAATTTACATGCCCACCAACAGTGCACAAGGGTTCCCTTTTCTCCACATCCTTGCCAACACTTGGTATTTCTTATCTTCGTGATAATAGCCATTCTAAGAGGTGTGAGATGGTATCTCATTGTGCTTTTGATTTGCATTTCCCTGATGATTAGTGATGTTGAGCATCTTTTCATGTACCTATTGGCCATTTCTGTGTCTTCTTTGGAAAAATATCTGTTCAGATCTCTGCCCATTTTTTAATCAAATTGTTTGGTTTTCTGCTATTGAGTTGTATGAGTTCTTTATGTATTTGGGACATTAGCCCCTTATCAGATATATGATTTACAGGTATTTTCTCCCATTCTGTAGGTTGCCTTTTCATTCTGTCGATGGTTCCCTTTGCTGTGCAGAAGCTTTTTAGTTTGATGTAATCCTACGTGTTTATTTTTCCTTTTGTTGCTTTTGTTTTTGGTGTCAGATAAAAAAATCATCGCCAAGACTGATGTCAAGGAGCTTACTGCCTATGTTTTCTTGTAGGATTTTGCAGTTTCAGGTCTTATGTTCCAGTCTTTAATCCATTTTGAGTTAATTTTTGTGTATTGTGTAAGATGGTGGTCCAGTTTTACTCTTTTGCATGTCGTTTTCCCAACACCGTTTATTGAAGAGAATGTCCTTTCCCCGTTGTATATTCTTGACTCCTTTGTCATAAATCAATTGACCATATATGTGTGGGTTTATTTCTGGGCTCTCTATTCTGGTCCATTGATCCATGTGTCTGTTTTTATGCCAATATCTCTGGGGATTCTTATTCAGTGTAATGGGCCCCTGGCCAGTGTGTGTGACCCTGAGAGCCAGCCGATCTGGGCCCCTTTCTGCTCTGATAATCTGTGGTCCTATGTCAGTCTTTCCTCATTTGGGGAGTTAGCAGGTTGGGATCAGAGTTGTCTCCAGTCACCCCAGGCCTACCCTTTGGAGGCCCCCAGGGATTGAGGACAGTTACTGGAGCTGCCCGTGACCCAGGCAAGCAGAGGTCAGAAGCCAAGAAGCTTGTGCCCCTGCCCTTCCCAGCTGGCCCTGTGCAAAGACCTGTAGTAATTACCACAGAATCAAAACCTCTCAGCTCCCGCCACCCAGCAAACAGGACTGGACCTGGAGCTGAGGCCTGTAAAAAAACAAACAAAATCTTCCATGTCTCTCACGGCTTCAACCCAGACACCTTGTTTGAATGTGCAGCGAGGACTTCTGCAGGCCCACACAGGCCTGAACAGCAAGTTTGGGACTGGAACCCAGGTCTCCTGAGGCCCATCCAGCCCCAGGGTGTTTTCCACTAAGCCTCGATGCCTGCCAACTTGAAATCACATTAAAAATATTCTTTGGCCTTAAAACTTGCTTTGAATAACTTGCAAGCAATGAAAACTATTTGAGAAAATCCGCAAGATGGCATAAAGTTGGTCAAAAATAAAACTGCACTTGGAAAAGACACTAAAACTCAAGTTCAATTCTAAGATGCAATGTTAAATCCAAAGCTATTTCTGTTTTGTTGGGGTTTTTTTGTGAGGAAGATTAGCCCTGAGCTAACATCCATTTCCAATCCTCATCTTTTTGCTGGGGAAGACTGGCCCTGGGCTAACATCTGTGCCTATCTTCCCATGGGATGCCACCACAGCTTGGCTTGACAAGTGGTGCGCGGGTCCGTGCCCAGGATCCAAACTCACGAACCCTGGGCCACTGAAGCGGAGCACGGGAAGTTAACCGCTACGCCACTGGGCCAGCCCCTAAAGCTATTTATGTTTTGATTAAGATAATGTGGCCTCAGTCTGCCACTTTATTAAGTCCCCTTGATTAGAAGCGACCAGTTGGCAAGCTCCTCACTCACATTGCAGGTCCTTCTCCCATGCCAGTCCTCCCATCCTTCTGCCACCTGCCCCAACCCTTCCCATCCCTAGAAAACTATTGTTTGATTAAAAATGAGACATCAGTGGGCACATTGTTAGTTTAAAATATTATTTAGGAGGTAGAATAGTGTGGTAGTTAAAAGCATGGACTCTGAAATCATATCTGGGCTGAAAGTACAGCCCTATTGCTAACTAGCTATGTGACCTTTTGAAAGTCACATAACCTCTCTGTGCCTCGGTTCCTTATCCAACAAATACAGACACTAAAACTTCCCAGTTGGAATGACTGAATGGAATAGTGCACAGGAAGCTTATGGCATGGCATCTAGTAGCTATTTACTTATTTATACACATTTATTCCCTGCCTTGTTCTATAATCACTCCTACCCTTCCTCTGATCATCCTCCTCCTCACTGTTGGGTTAACAAATCTCTAGCATTTATAATCAAACTCAGAAAACCTGGGAGAACCTCTCTCCCAGTGACTTAGCCTCTCTGGTCAGCAGGATTTAAGAAAGTGGCCAAAGCAGAGGATTCTGGGAGTGCCACTTGGGAGAAGGACAATCTCTACAGTTAAATACTAAGGGTCAGGTGGCTGTATTGGTGGCCCCTTGAAACAGTAGCAGATGGTACACTCAGCTACCTGAAGGCAAGGTCTGGACAAGATGACCCTAGGAGAGGAGGCCAGAAGGATGGCGGAGTCTGGACACCAGGTGGCAAACCAAGGCTGGCCCCAGGATGCATAATGAAGCAAGTTCTGCCTCGGTTCTTGCTCTCACTTCTGTACCCTTATACTGTCTCCTCTTCTCTCCCCACCATGTTCCCTCAGAGGCTCAGAGCCAGAGGGTTAAAGAAGGCCTCCTGACTCTAATGAGGTGTGGGGAGGAAGGTGTCTCCTAAACGATTTCAGGCTGAAATCTCAAGTTCTTTGTGCATTCCCTTCCCAGGGACATGTGCACATTGCCCTCTATCTAACTGACCCTTCTGCCTCCTTCTTAGGAGGACCTTTGTGATTACATCGGGCCCACCTGGATAATCCAGGGTAATCCCCCATCTCAAAATACTTAGTCAGATCTGAAAAGTCCTTTTTACCATGTAAGGTGACATATTTCCAGGGATTAGGACATGGATGTCTTCTGGGGACC